ATATATTATATCTGCAATCTCTACCCAAGTGCAAATTTATCTCTTCAAAATTAACATTTTCATATTTGCATTTAAATCATATCAGCAAAATTAGTGCGCGTGTGCTGTTCACTTGCTCACTATTTATTCAATATATTTGTTGGGGGCCAATTTATTATCACTAACGCAAATTGAATGACAATCCATAATATTTTTTGCATTGTTTGAATATAATTTAATTTTGTCAATACATAATATATATATATATATATATATAATATATATAAGAGGCGTTTTGTAACCGCTGAAGCGATTTTCGGCCGGTCTCCTACTGCAAATTTGATGTTTTTCCAACAAATGGAGGGACGTACATTTTTTACTAAGCCGCCTCCGAACGGCTGATAGTTTTTTATGAAGTACTTATATTATGTTAGAAATACACTTGGTGGGGTTTGAAATTCCCTGCCGAAATAATATAAAATATCAACTATACGTATATAGATTCGGACTAGCAATACTAATACTACCGAATTGCCTATTGAATAAATTCTAAATCTTAATCCTGCTGAAAAAACGTATTTTTGTATCTATTAGTTAGTTGTTACGTTCAAATATTCTATAAAATCAACATCAGCCCAAATGTAGGCAACGTTTATTTGGGAATTAATTCTTGCCTACCATCAGGTCCACTGTTTAATAATATCGTCGCATTGAAATCGGAAGACATGTTAACAATTGTTATTAAATATTTTAAGCTTAATATCGTTTTTATAAATATTAATGTCTAAAATTTGCAATTTATAAAGATGTATTATATTTTATTATGAATATTGTATTGAACATCTTAGTCATAATGTTAACTTACTAATATGTTTTTTTTTTAAACCAGTTTGAAAAATAAAAAATTTAAATTTAATTTAAAATGTTGACAAAATCTTAAATAGTATTTGTTTAAAACAGACCAAAAATCCTTATTTTCAATGAGAAACAACTTTTTTGTCGCAATTAAAACCAACATTATTAGCTCTCTTGCCTATCGTATAAGTATATCTTTTATTTCTAAGTCAATTATATCTCAACATATAATATTATATTATTTATTTATCTATCTATCTCTTTTTTTCACTCTACTCTACTGCACCCCTCTAACTCGTGGAACAAACAAACTTGATGCAATACCAAAAATATATACATATTTAATGGATATGCTAAAAATTCGACAATGAAACATCCATATGTATATATATATATATATATATCTAATAAATGCAGGTTCTTTAAAATAGACCGTAAACAAAATCAAAAAATTTGCAACGCTAGCGAGCGAGCGCTTAACGCTTTGAAGTGCAAACAACACATATTCATAAAAGTAAAAAATAAGACGCAAGAAATTGCATTCAAATCACAAAAATTCGCACAAAAACACAAAACAGTTGAAGACTGAAAAAGAAGCAGAAGAAGAAGAAAAAAAAAATAAAGCAAGTTAACGCATTGACAATTTTTTGCGAGGTATTTGAACTTTTTGAATGTAAACGTGCGATCGACCGGCATTTTTATTTCATACAAAAAGCGGGGCAAAAGCGAAATAGGAAAAAAACAGCACACAAAATAAAAGTGAAAATATAATTGGCAGAAAGCAACCAACATAAAAAGTGCGTAAGATATAAAATGAAAAGGAATTACAATATAAAAATAATTGCCGATAATTAAAGAAAAAATGAAATCAGTAATAAATGCAAATACATAAAGAATTAGATTACAAATTAATAAAAAATGTTAAACAAAAAAGTAAATTAAAAATAATTGGAAGTAAATTAACAAACAATTAAATTAAAATAATTGCCAGTAATTAAACAGAAAATAAAATAAAAAGTGAATGAAAATAAATAAACGAAAATTAAATTAAAATATATGCAGAAAGCAATTAAACAAAAAAATTAATTTAAAATATATGCACATAATAAAAGAAAAAAACTTAATTAAGAATAAATGAAAATAACTAAACATAAAAACCAGGAAATAATTAAGCAAGAATTCATTTAAAAATTAAGGAAAATAAATTACCCAAAATTAAATTAAAAAGCGATTAAGCAAAAAAATTAATAAAACTAAATATCAGTAATTAAACAATAAAAATTAATTTAAAACACCTGCAATTAATTAAACAAACAAAATCGATTTAAGAATAAATGAAAATAAATAAACGAAAAATTAAATTACAAATACATGCAAATATTAAAAAAAACGAACTAAAAACACAGGAAATAATTAAGCAAGAATTAATTTAAAAATTAAAGAAAATAAATTAACAAAAATATTAATTAAAAATTATGGAAAATAAATAAACAAATGATGAAATTAAAAAAAAATCAAGTTTAAATTAAAAAGAATTTAATAAAATTTATTCCATGGCCACTTCATAGGTTTATTTGTTCTTTATTTACACCGGCAATAATAAGCGAATATTATAACTTTTCCATGCCATAATATATTAATAAATTGTGCCAAGAGTAATATAAAAAAATTAAAGAAAATACACCTAAAGCGCAGAAAAGTACATATACATGTATGTTATGCACATATAAAATACATACATATATGATACTTCGATTTGAGCACTTTATATGCTGTATTGATCAGTGCATTCGTTTATGCCGAATTTAGAATTATAATCGATATAATTCGTGTAATTTTCAGCACCTGTTCGGTTGTTAAATATTTCGCTTTCATTATACATACATGGTACATATGTAAATGCAAATAATTTGATCAAGAATTATGAAAGGAAAGCGGAAATCATAATTGAAAAATCTCTCCTTCATGCCTAATAATTTTAGGTTTCCGAAACACTGAGGATAATTCTAAAATTATTGATTAGTTTTTATTAGTCGTTACTGTTTCGATTTCTTGTTGCTTTTGCGTTATGTGTTTGTTTGATTTCCTGAACCGGTGTTCCAGTTGCACTTACTCTTCTATCTTGTTTATTTTTTTTTTTAATGTGTGAAACCTTAAACTATTTTTACATATGCAAGATTATTAAATAATAATATGACAATTAAATGTAAAGAAACATGCGAACTGTTTAAAGAGTTCTATGCGGGAATCTAGTTTTCAAACTATTATTGATAAATGAAAGAGGAAAAAAATAATAATGTTGCTTATGTAAATATACTATTAGCAGTTTTCATTAAACAATAGAAATTTTCAAACTCATGGTAGTACGTACATATATATGTAGGTATGTACTATTTTTAATAATTTTATTTTTCTTTTTATTCTATTTACACGATGACTTTGGAAGTAGTCTTTAATTTCATGTTTTAATTTAATTGCTTTTATTCATTGTTTTTGTTGTTTTTTTTTTTTTGGCAAACAAATTAATATTTGTGCTACTAATTAGTTAGTGTTTGTCCAGGTGCCTAAACGGAATTGAGTTAAGTTAGAATTCCAAGTGGGTCGGAACTTAAGCGAAACGTTGCGCACATTGTATTTACATAAGTAAACATAACTAAAAAAATAAAAATAAATATAAACATAAAGAATTTCAGAATTTCAAAGTATTTAAGTAAACATAACTTAAAAAAAATAAGAATAATAAGAAAAATTTAGTAAAAGGAAGTAATATTGATGTTATCATTTTTTTTTAGTCTACCCTTGACAGATTAATCAAAAGTATATATCCATATATAATAAGATTCTCAGAATGTAAGGAGAACTTATGTTTCATATTTTACATTTCTATACCAAAAAAAATTTCAAATAACGTAATCGAACAAACCAGATTTTTGTAGTAAACATAAGAAATGAAACAAAAAATGTTTAATAGTAAATTCAGAACGTTCATTCTTCCGACAATAGTCGAGTGCGTGCTATTTTGCCATTTCGATTTTTAATTTTGCTGATTTCATTTATTTTTAAAATAGGTGTAAATGTTTGTGTAAGTAATTTTTATTTCAGCCTTAGGCATTTAAAGGCAAGTGTGTTAGCCCCAAATTTGCTTGGTAACAGGCACGCGACTGGAAAGTAGATACCATTTGTTTGTTTGGCCGCGAAGGCTTGCTTCCAATGCCACATTTCCAATGAAACTCAAAGGAAAATAATTTAGTCATATTCCAGTTTTATTGATTGCTAGCTTTAGATTCGCAGAGAAGTTCGTTTTGGTTTTTTTTTTCGTGACTTTTGTACAAATTGTATAAACACGTTAGTGCTTAGAGAAGTGTGCTTTTAGGCGCTTTGCTTTCTAGTAACTTTGTTTAAAACGAAGGTAGGGTGCAACTAAATTGACCTAGTTAGTAAGCATACGTATGGGTTCATATATAAATGACTAGCAGCAAGAAAACCTGAACGATAATACAAGACAGCATGTTTTCTTGTCTGTAAATTTCACTATATTCCATCGATTTATTGTGGCCTACTTTTAGGCGAGTTTCAACTTGTAACTTAGTATAGTATTGTTTTGTAATGAATTCAATTTCATTTATATTTATAATTATTGTATTTGAATTAAATATATATATCAGGTATAGTATAGTGTATTAATTTTTTTTATTATTTTTAAATAAAAAATTTATTTAATATAAGGTTATTAATTATTTTTATTAAATTATAGCTGGTATTGTATTTTAAATAAAATTTTTTATACAATTTGTAATATGTCGTTAAATTTAATTATTTAGTTCATTATATTATTTATTTATTTGTAATCGTAATATTGATCCCTTCATTTACTACATACATACATACATCCTCTGATCATTGCATTTCTTACAATTTTTATATATTTTTTCTACTTTTTTGCTCCTTCATCATCGCCATCATGCCTGTATAACGTACCTTTGCCTTGCGTTACGTTTACGTTACGTTACATTGAATTGCGTTTATATCGTTTGTACGTTGTTACGTTTTGTGCTCGTTTATCCAACATTTGTTCCTGTGCTTGTTGTTCTTTTGCCCATATTGTTGTTGTTGTGATTGTTGTTGTTTACTATACACTCGAATCGAATTGAAATCGAATTCTATAGCATGGAAGAGCGGACTCTTATCGTGTCGCTACGGTTATACCAACCGATGACGACAATCGTACAGCCGATGGTCACTTAAGGGTAAATATAAAAATTGAAACATACATACATATATACATGCATGCATAAATACATATATATATATACATACAAATATATAGTACTTGTCATATTTTTAATTAAAATAGACGTCATATATGTGTATATACGTATGTACATACAATATACTTGTGGTTTATGTAACACAGATATTTGCCAACAATATGCATACATACTTATATAATATATATATGTACATTTAGAACGCCATCTAACACATATAAAATATATCAGACATTTTCAAGTTCAAGAGTCGCTATCTTTTCTTTCTGCTTGGCTTCGGTCGTCTTGAAAAATCACTTTATTTTTATATTATAACAAACAAACATATAATATATACACTTCATGCATACGTACATAAGTATTTCGTACCACTCAAGGCGATTCTAATTTAGACATTTAAATATACTCTTTCTTTTTAAGCATAATAAAAATTTTCAAAACGAGTCAAAATTTCACAAACTGTTTTGTTTTGGGTATCTAATTTTTAGCGTTTGAAAATTTGCTAACTCTTTTATATTTCAATACATAAATAATAGTTTTCCTTTAATTTTATAATAAAAATAAACTTTTATGTTTTTATGTATGTGCTGTATTTCTTTTTCCTTTATATATTTGCTTTAATTTGCATGCGTCTTAAAATATTTATTATATTTTTGATGTGTTTTTGTTTATAAATATACATTTTTTCGCTTATAATTCTCATGTCACTTTCTGTTGCTTCAAGATAACTGTATTTTTTCTTTAACTTTTGTTTCATTTCATTTTTATTTCTTTCGTGTTTAATATTACTTTTATATTTTGTTTTTTTACGTTGTATAGAAAGCAACTGCAATGAAAATAATTTCAATTTTTCTATTATTTTCTTGCTACTTGCCCATGAAAATTGATTTTATTTGCAATATATTTACTTGACAGATCTTTAATTATCTAATTTTATGTGTTGAAAGGGAATATAATTTCGAAACTCTAAGGGGAACGACAATCATACATATCATACATATTTTATGTGAATATAAAAATTGATATATGTATATTCGAATAATATAAATTTTGTGAAAAATAAGAACTCATGTCATGGAGCGTAATTTTATATTAAAAAAAAAAAACATTGAAAAATAGAAGCCTCATTTAACATATCGTGCATTCTTTATGAACCACATTTCAACAAAATCGAAATTAAAGCCATCCACCACCCAGTCAGCCAAATGTCTTAACAACTTTGTTAGAGATTTTTATAGTAGCCCAAAAATATATATTATATTTTTATCTTGCTTCAAATTTAAAAATACCTGCAATACATCGTTGTGCACAGTGCAGACACATTGCAAATGTCTCGCCAAAGAGATTTTTATTAGATTTATATGTGCACCGCACAGCTATCATATACAACAGCTCGTATGAACAGGCAGTGACAGTAATGATTGCTTGTATGTAAATGTGGGCGTTGAGTGTCAGCATCATCAAAATCTCTGCTAGTTGTCTGACCAGCTGGCTGGCTAGTTCACTGCCTGGCTGACGTATGTTTTGGCTAAATTTATCAAAATAAAAACACACTTCCGAGGTCATAAGTTGGTTTAGCAGTTGCCAAAATGTGCTTTATAAGTGAAATAAAGAAGACTCAGTATAGAAAGTAGAATGAAAAACAAACGTGAATGATTATAATGCTTTTAATTTTTCCCTTTTTTCATAAGGTTCGTTTTTAATGCGAATGCGATATGAGTAAAAATTTTGAACTGCGCCTAAAAGATGCTATAGAAAACACACATTTGGCAGTTTCTTTTTTTTTTAATATGAACAGTAGAACTATTTAGTCTACATTTGTTATTTCTTTAATTTAATTAAGAATTAATTCATTGATTTTGTACGTTTTATTTTGTTTAAATTTTGTTTTTATTTTTTAATATATAAATTTTTTTCGCTTGCATGTCAACCCATATTATTCGTTTCTAACATTCATAATCAGTTTATTAAAAGTTTCTTTGTGTTTTACATGAAATATTTTTACCAAAAATATGTATGTATGTGTATGTGCGGTAAGTAAAGTAGAATAGCGTTCCAAAAGTCTTAACATTTATTTTGGTGCAAATTAAAATAATTTCTCTGCCTACACATACAAATCTATAATTAAATAGCAATTAATGTATTGTTAGACATGTAATCAAAGGCAACAATAACGCCTTCCGGTAATGGTTTTACTAATGACAATAATGAAAATCAATTGAAGCAACAATATACAATACATATGTGGCTTTATATATATTTAACAAAAGAAAGGCTGTGGCCAAAACATAAAATTTTATTAACAAAAGACACTTTACTAAGTCCATTTCATATAAACTTCGTGGTGCTCGGTGCCTATAAAGTGCTCGGCGAAAAGTAAACCCATATATAATCTAATATATACTGAAATCTAGCGGTGGGAAGTGATTAACAAAACTGGCATGAAGTGAACTAAAATAAAAAAATAAAAAAAACTACTATAAAAAATAAATTTTCTTGGACATTTTCTACAGTACGATTTAACGGTGTTGGTTAATAAAAACAGAAATGAAATAAGCGTTTTTGTAGAAGCAAGCCATTTTTACAGTTTCCCCTTAAGCGTTACAAAAACGTTTGTTTTTGTTTTAAAAAATAATTTTTTAATAAAAATATCTTTTATTTTCTTCCTCTTCTCCCCTACCTTCACTCTCATGTGCAGTCTAAACGCAGGATGCCACCAAAACCGGCTAAGAAGGAGAATCTTGAAGATCTCAAGCAGGAGTTAGATATCGATTTTCATAAAATCTCTCCTGAAGAACTGTATCAACGCTTTCAGACACATCCAGAGAATGTAAGTTTATTATCTTAAATATCTTTTTAATTTCTTTATTAACTGTTTTTATTTTTTTTTTTCGATTTTTCGCTCTACAGGGTCTGAGCCACGCCAAAGCCAAGGAGAACCTAGAGCGAGATGGCCCTAACGCGCTTACGCCACCTAAACAAACACCCGAATGGGTGAAATTCTGTAAGAATTTATTCGGTGGCTTCGCCATGTTGCTGTGGATTGGTGCTATACTTTGCTTTGTGGCCTATTCCATTCAGGCCAGTACCAGCGAAGAGCCCTCAGATGATAACTTGTATTTAGGTATCGTACTTTCGGCTGTAGTTATAGTTACCGGCATTTTCTCATACTATCAGGTGAATAATTAATTATTATTATTCATTTTAAATTACTTTATTAATTTGTTTGATCTCTTCTTATTCATTTTTGTTACGCAGGAATCGAAAAGTTCAAAGATTATGGAATCGTTCAAAAACATGGTACCCCAATTCGCCACTGTCATTCGTGAGGGTGAGAAACTCACATTACGCGCTGAAGACTTGGTGTTGGGCGATGTCGTTGAAGTGAAGTTTGGTGATCGTATCCCCGCTGATGTACGCATCATTGAGGCGCGCAACTTTAAAGTGGATAACTCATCGTTGACTGGCGAATCTGAGCCACAATCACGTGGTGCTGAATTTACACATGAAAATCCTTTGGAAACTAAGAATTTGGCTTTCTTCTCTACCAACGCTGTCGAGGGCACGGCCAAGGGTGTTGTCATCAGTTGTGGTGATCACACTGTAATGGGCCGTATTGCTGGCTTGGCCTCTGGTTTGGATACTGGCGAGACTCCAATCGCTAAGGAAATTCATCATTTCATTCACTTGATTACCGGTGTCGCCGTATTCTTGGGTGTGACTTTCTTTGTCATCGCTTTCATCTTAGGTTACCATTGGTTGGATGCTGTCATCTTTTTGATTGGTATTATTGTAGCGAACGTACCAGAAGGTCTACTGGCCACTGTGACTGTGTGTCTGACATTGACTGCCAAACGTATGGCATCGAAGAATTGTTTGGTTAAGAATTTGGAAGCTGTGGAAACTTTGGGCTCCACCTCAACAATTTGCTCCGATAAGACCGGCACCCTCACCCAAAATCGTATGACCGTCGCCCATATGTGGTTCGATAATCAAATCATCGAGGCCGATACAACTGAAGATCAGTCGGGTGTGCAATACGATAGAACCAGCCCTGGCTTCAAGGCGCTCTCTCGCATTGCTACCCTCTGTAATCGTGCCGAATTCAAGGGCGGTCAAGAAGGTGTACCAATTTTGAAGAAGGAAGTCAGCGGTGATGCCTCCGAAGCTGCGCTGCTTAAGTGCATGGAATTGGCGCTAGGTGATGTAATGAATATTCGCAAACGTAACCGCAAAATCGCTGAAATTCCATTCAATTCGACCAACAAATACCAAGTCTCCATTCATGAAACAGAAGATCCCAGTGATCCCCGTTATTTGCTTGTCATGAAGGGTGCACCCGAACGTATTTTGGAACGTTGCTCAACAATTTTCATTAACGGCAAAGAGAAGGTATTGGACGAAGAGATGAAAGAGGCTTTCAATAACGCTTACATGGAACTTGGTGGTTTGGGTGAGCGTGTGCTCGGTTTCTGCGATTTTATGCTGCCCTCCGATAAATACCCCACTGGCTATAAATTCAATACAGACGATGTTAATTTCCCCATTGACAACTTGCGTTTCGTCGGTCTTATGTCTATGATTGATCCACCACGTGCTGCTGTACCCGATGCCGTCGCCAAGTGCCGTTCAGCTGGTATTAAAGTTATTATGGTGACTGGTGATCACCCTATTACCGCTAAGGCTATTGCCAAATCGGTTGGTATCATTTCTGAGGGCAATGAAACAGTTGAGGATATCGCACAGCGTTTGAACATCCCTGTCTCGGAAGTTAACCCACGTGAAGCCAAGGCAGCTGTTGTGCATGGCGCTGAATTACGTGATGTTACAGCCGATCAGTTGGATGAAATTCTACGCTATCACACTGAGATCGTGTTCGCACGTACCTCGCCTCAACAGAAATTGATCATTGTGGAGGGTTGTCAACGCATGGGTGCTATCGTGGCTGTAACCGGTGATGGTGTGAACGATTCACCAGCGTTAAAGAAAGCCGATATTGGTGTTGCTATGGGTATTGCCGGCTCTGATGTATCCAAACAGGTGAGTGATGTGCAAAAGGGTCCGAATAATGGTTAAGTGGTGGTAAAAAACAATGGTTAAAAAGGCATATCAAGAGCTTAATGCTTTCAATAAAACCCAACTACAAAACAAAAGCATTCTTGTTGGTTGTGTTATATTGAATATGCATAAGTACTCGATCCAAAAAAAGTATTACTTAAATTACGAATTGGTTATATATTATATAAAAATTTTCATTTAGGCTGCTGACATGATCTTGCTCGACGATAACTTCGCTTCGATTGTGACTGGTGTTGAAGAGGGTCGTTTGATTTTCGATAACTTGAAGAAATCCATTGCCTACACACTGACATCCAACATCCCCGAAATTTCACCCTTCTTGGCTTTCATCCTTTGCGACATACCACTGCCACTGGGTACCGTCACCATTTTGTGTATCGATTTGGGAACTGACATGGTAAGTGTGACTTTGTCCGTGTAGCAAATTTGTATACTTTTGTGATTGTGCGATAAAATCGTATTATTTTCGAATTCAGTTAATTTAGTTAAGACTTTTTTCATTAATTTTATCTACTTTTTTTTGGAATAATAATTTTAAATTTATTTCTAAAAGAACATATACGTACTTAACAATGAAATGAAAGGTATATGTTGAAAAATACATTAATAGATTAGGTCAACGTTTTCGTAAAACAATTGCTAGGTAGGGTTAAATTAGCATAATTTACTAAATAACTCAATATTTACAAACAAAAATATACCTCATACACATGTATACACACACGAAAACAAAAATGCCGCTATGCAAAATAACGCAACGACGAAACAAACTAAATTAGGTGCCTGCGATATCACTAGCCTATGAGGAAGCCGAATCGGACATAATGAAACGACGACCACGAAGTCCACTCTTCGATAAATTAGTCAACGAAAGGTAAACCAGGGCTTGATTTCATGAGTAAAGGGAAAACGTAATTGTGCCACAACAGCTTAAGCTTGAGTGATGGGGAAAAACCTTGCATATTTCCGTTATTGCTATATAGCAGTGTGTTTGCTACTTTACGCCAGGCTTCCGCCGTCTCTATATATACAAACATGTGTACTTGTTAATGCTAAATGTCTCTAAGTGAGGTATTAGAAATATTGCTAGAAAATTCTAGGCTATACCCAGAACTTTTTTGTCATAACTATTAAATTATTGCTTATTACTGTGTAAACAGGGAAGGTGCTATTGTCTAGGTTTATGCTAAAATAAGTAAAATTCCTGTCGAATTTATATATTAATTAAGCAACGAAAATGTTCAACATCTATCCATTAAATGTGGAGCTTTCAATGCAGCGGAAGCTCAACTGAGCGCTACACTAATGAAGGACGTAAGCTGCATAAACGCCAAAGATGGTGTTGGAAATCAAAGCAAATAATAAATGTTACCGCTTAGCTTAAGCCATTTTATGTGTAACGGTGCTACCAGTGAAATCGCTAAACTACTTCAATGTGTATTTTCTAAGAATACATAATACTTTAATATTCTATTATCGATAAATGCTGCAATTGTTTAAGCTTTGTGCTATATATTTATGTATTCAAATAGATATAAATTAAGAAGTGATAATATGATTTTCCACAAACCCATTAGTTACTAACGAAAATCTAAAATAGTTTTGTATTTAAATAGTTTTAAGAAATTTTACATGTTTGTATTTATGTCAAAAACCGGTTAGGCTAAAGAGTCAATTACCTATCAAAAGCTAATTTTAATATCGTTTATACATACATATCTCTCTATTCTCACTACTCCGTCTATGATTTTTCAACATTATTCGCTACATATACATACATACCTCTATTATTATATAAGTACCAAGTATTTATGTTTTTTTTGTAAACCTTCAATGAAATTGAAATAAGCACTGAAATTATAGCGAATCATATTATATAATGGTAGTGATTCCACACTTAAACTAAATTATTTTTTTGTTTTACAATAGTAATTATCAATGCTACTTGTAAAAACCAATTTATATTAAGAGTACGAAAATTACTCAGTTGTTTTCAAAGCGCATTATTATTCGAAATTTTTCATAATTGTTGCTTAAATATTAGTTAAAATTACTTACATTCATCCAAACATAATGCGCAGTTAGTATACTCGTAAATATAAATACAATTTATAAAGGATTTCGTTTGAAAATTGATATATGTATGTATGTAAAAATGGTAACATTATTATCCATCTTCTAAATATTTCAGTAAAATAAATAAGGGGAATGTAAGAATTAATTTCAAGCTTGCTCTCTTATTCGCTTCATTGAAGGTTTTCTTATTAACCTAAAATAAGAAATTTGTTTTTAACATTTTTTCCAATATTCTCTCGTACATAAACGCGTATTTTATATTTTATTACATGTGTATATCCTTTCTTTATATATATATAAATATTTTATTGTTAACGCTACATAATTATCCACACGAAAAAAACATACACACACACATACATGTATTTAAACGACTTTTGTTTGTTCATATGTTAATGTTGAAATATAAAACTATGTAGGTGCCTGCCATTTCCTTGGCTTATGAAGCTGCTGAGGCCGATATTATGAAGCGTCCACCACGTGATCCATTCAACGACAAATTAGTCAATTCAAGGTGCCCAAAATTATGCAAATAAAAACACTGTAAAAACGTGTTTTTGTATTTTGTAAACATTTTTTTTTTATTGAATACATTTAAGTCAGCGGTTTTCAATCTTGAAATATATGCGTTTTTGGATTTGTAAAATATTTATTTTGTAACGTATAATGTACATATATACAAACATACCATATAGACTGTAAGGTTTTCGTAATAACAATTTAAAAATTTAGTTGCCTTAGCAACTTATAATTTCGCTTTGACTGTTTCAATATTAACTGTTTTCTAACTGGACTTATTCCGTGTGTAATGTCGTTTCTTGAAAGTGTAAACCATTTAGTTATCTAATAATTTGCTGAAAATCTTCCATTTAAATTCCACATGTCACGATTGAAAACCGCTATTTCCATTGCTGTTCAAGCAGTTACGATTAACAACGAAAGTGGTCCCTCCTTACAATTACTAACGTGCTCGATTAATATGCCTGTTGTTCCATTAAAAAAAAAGAAATATTTTCTTTTTTTAGTTTTTTTTTTAGTTTTTTTTTGGTTTAACAAACGCCAATTACCATTTACTGGTGTTATGACTGATTAAATAAATAATAATTTAGAACATTTTCTAACCTCATTTCAATAGTAACAATCTAGCAGTCGTTAAATTATTTTTTGTTTGGTATTTTTCGTTGTTTAACCATCGATGTTCGTTCTCTTCATATTGTTGACACACACTGAACCATCAACACTACCAAATAAATGGTTTATATTGTATAACTCGTTTATCTCTATTGCAAATTAAACTAACATTCAACAATTGCTGTTGTAATTATTTATAAGTAAACTTTCATTTTAAATGTAATGATGTAATTAAAAGAAAATATCATTGTTCAAAGACTCAATGCAGTACATATCATCTTCATCGTCAGCGACCAACGTCATCATTGCCGACAACAACATTTATTAAGTGTCTTAAGTGTTTTTTTTTCTTGTGTTATTGTAATTTGTAATTTTCTTTTGTTTTATCTACAAAACTACACATATATACACATCGTACATACTTGTATTGTATAACTCCACTATGATGTGTTGTTGAAATCATCAATATATACATACATACAATCATTCGATATTGTTAAACTTTCATATTTAAATTATTGAGCGTTATTAACCGTCATACTTGTATATATTTTATTAACTAATTGTTAATTTCCTGTTATTGTGCGCTTATGTTGATTTATCCAGTTTTTGTTTAAATATATATCGAAAATTGATATTTGCTACGGAGCTATGGCAAAATAAGTCCTGTTTGGCAGAAGAGAGATTTTCAGCGTGTCTCTGTTGTTGTTGTTGCGACGTCAAACAATGCCAAGCTTTGCTTGTGTCAGCCACCAGACCGAAATAATTAATATTACCACACATGATTTGAAATATATCAATAAGATCATAAATAATTCTATATTATTAACGAATAATAATGCTTTGAGAGATATATAGAGTATTTCTTTAAATTAATTGTGACTATTTTTTCACCAAATATGTACATATCTCTGCGTTAAAGTCAATGTGCCCACTTATAATTAATTCATACATCTCAGTTTAAAAAAATGAAGATTTTCTCAAATAATTGTTATAAAATCAAATCAAAATGTCACTATAAAATATATTATATACATATATTTGTGTTACATATAACAATTTTCTTGTACTTGCTAACATAACGCGGCAATTTACTGCAAAATTTAACAAAAAGTTTATACTTTTCATAAATTTAATTTTTGGATATAAACCGCTTAAGGAAATCCTATAACGCGTAAAATTTTATTTAACTAATATGTTTTTTTTTGAAATTTAATTTTAACATTTTTCAAAATTACATTACCATTAATTCATTACCACGCATTGGCTACATTCTCTTCATCTACATATTTTTTTAATTACATAATATATATAAACATGGTTGTTGTTTCTTTCTGGGCAAAAAGTAAATTGCGTGTTGTTGTGCGTATTGCAAAATTTGTTTTTCAAAACGTAAAAAGTGCTAAGCATTTATTAGTATTGGTTTTACTTTTATGGCATAACAAATCGCAAGTGTTTCATGCAAATTATATTCTCTTTTTTATTTACTTTTTTTATATTGTAAACTGTAAAATTTGGAAACTGCAGCAGTAAATTATAATTTTTTTTAATGTATTATATGAAATTGTTTGTTGGAAAATCTGTGCAAATGTTTACATATCGCAAAACAAATTTTTGTATAATTATTTGGTCCTTTTTGAATATATTTTTTTTTAAATGTCTAAAACAAGTACCACATAATGATGTATAAGGCAAGTTGTAAGGAAAGAAATTCCCTAAATAATTTTTTTCACTGAATTATGAAGTATTGTAATAGAAATTTCATATTCGAGTTTTTTATTTGCAAAACCTACGCAAGAACTGCGTGAACTCAGGAGTATATACTTTTGGCGCTGGTTTTTAAAATTCTCGAAATTGTTCTCCGTGTTTGGTTTTTTTTTTTTTTATTTACAAGTGTAATAAGTCACACCCATTTAATCTAACATATGCATAAGTATATGTGCCTAAAATGGCTAGAGAGATATGTTAAGACTTCTTTTTTGTCAATATATATATATATTTTTTTTTTATTTAAAAATTCCATCTCTTTTTTTTGGTTTGCTGTATATTTAAACACACATTTGTATGCATCTATTAAAAATCATAAAACTCTGTATGTATGTGTAATCACAAATAGGTACCAGCTATTTCCTTAGCCTATGAAGAAGCAGAATCTGATATTATGAAACGTCAGCCCAGGAATCCATTTTGTGATAAACTGGTGAATGAAAGGTAAAGTTATTTTGACAACATGACAACTTGGTGATAGTTGTGTGTGCTTCTCCTAATTTCAGTCAAATGAAAAAAGAAAAAAAAAACAAAAAAAAAAGTAACTTTAAATTTCGTTACGAAAAATATAGTAAAAACAATATAAAGTACTAAAATATATTTATATATATATATATAAATATTTTAAATATATCAAAATAACTTCAAGTACGTCATCATTATTGCCTGAATGTCCTTAAATGACCTATGGCAACACAACAAAAAATAATAATTATTAAAACCTATTAATATCCCAACTTTGAACGCTCCTAATTACTCTCATGAGTACTACTACTACACAGTCGCGTTCCGCCTCCTTTTAAATTGAACTTTCACTCAACATCATTTTACCACTACTACCACTACTATTTACTTATAGTATTATATATATACTACATACTTATTTGCTGCCCAATTCTATAACCCATGTCCACTTTGCCAAACACTACCTATTTTCTACTACTACTTTTTTAGAATATACAAATAAAATATTTGCCTACTAAATTGCCTTTAATATATACATAAATATATTTACTTATCAATAAATAAATACAAATATGAATTGCCACTTTTTCTTAAGTATCTACTACTTACCACTTTCTCGCATTTTTCTTTTATTGAAATGCAATTTCACTACTTATTTAAAACCAAAAAGTAATAATAAAATAATTTTGCAATTTTCACTTTCAATTCTAAGCATAAGAACTGAAAAAAAAAAAAAACAAAAATCTGAAATGCAATTAAATCAATTTGTAAGCGTGTGCACTTTGGCAAAATTGTGAAGAAACAACATTCTTCACCACCGGGGTTGAAGAATATTTCACTATATATCGAGACTCCACTTTTGGCATAAATTTAAATAGAGTGAGAAGAAGTTTTGAAAGCGAATACAATATATTAATTTGCATCAAAGATTTGAATAAAAATAAAGCAAAGTACGTTATCACGTAATCCAACAGTCACTACAGTACATTATTACTTACTCTACTTAAGTACTTTTAGTTGAATTTTCTTTCGCTCTTAGTTAGTTGCATACAAAATATTCGTATACATATATATATATATATATAAATATATATGTTAATTAGCGTCGTTAGTTTCGTATATTTTGTTGGTGCCTAAAGTGACTTTTCCAAGAAACGAAATCCCAGTGGATATAAGATTTGAAAAAAGATAAAAAAATAAATTTAATTAGTTTGCTGTTGTTTTTGTTATAAACTATACCTACATATATTGGCATATTATAGTATAAAATTTTAATTTAATTTTCGGAATATTCAATATTTATTTTCATATTAATTTTTTCACAATAAATTCTCAGCTTAGCTACGATTTAACATTTTTTATAAGCATTTATCAATAAAGAATCCTCAATTAATTCTCTTTAGTTAAACTTATTCCCTCGTAATCACTATTTGCGTTGACAATTGCGCATGTTCGTCTATACATATATTATATGTAATATTTATAGAAATGTATAAAATAAAATAAAATTCTAGAGTATTAAAATTGCAAACGTAATAATTGTTAAGAGACTTTTGTATGCTTTGAATATAATACTTTCTACTTTTTCTTCCTCTTCTTCTCGACACTTCTTCAATATTGAAATTCTAAATATTAATTTACCATAAAAAGTCTCTTATTCTTTAAGCTTGACCAAAAGTGCTATGAATTGAATTTTTTTTTTAATTTTTTTAACAAATTCCATATAAAAATAATTCCAATTATAGTCAACTAATGATTATACAAGCCATTGAGAAGCGTTAGAAAAACTATTTTTTTATTTCTAAAGAAAAACTTACATTTTTGTTTTGGTGGTCATTGAAAAAGAATTCGCCCCAAAATTTGAAAAAAATCTCACTAAAGCTTACTGCCAGTTCAGCTACGCTTTAATAGCTCACTTACTTTTCTTCTACTTCAATTATAAGCCTTTTTATTTACATTTACATAAACTTTTTAAACAACTTCTTGCTCTTTGCTTTAACTCTTCAATATAATTTTGGTCTATTATTTAAAATAAAAAAGAAATTTTTTGATACATTTTTTCAAATCATTTTTTTTTTTTCAACAAAATTGTCATGCCTGTATATGCCATTTTGCTGCAAAAATATATAAATCGTACACGTGTATTTAACT